TCAGGGTACAAACAGTTACAGCATGGGTACCCTCTTCCAGGGAGCTTTACTGAAAGTCTTTCCATTCCACCCACCCCCTGGTTGGGTAGGATGAGGGCCTACTTGGGATTCCCGCAGTATTCTGTGTTCACTTCCAGGGACACTTTTCATATTGCTTATGGTGATATGCTTATATAATGGCTCACTTCTCTGGACTGAGCAGCTTCCTGGCGATACTGTAACTGTTCAGGAGAGTAGAAAGCCCAGTCTTTCACCCTCGGAGCTGCTGGTGGTTTCAAACTGCTGACCCTGCGGATCGCAACCCCACGTGTAACCACTACACCACCAGTGCTGTTTCATAGGAACCTAGTTAAAGAAAAAAACAGGAGACTAGTTAAAGAAATTATCGTGTGGCATCCATACAATAGAATACTATGCAGTTGTAAAAAAGAAAAAAGAAGTGCTTAATTAATAGGGACTAATCTCTGAGCTATATCGTTAAATGAAAACAAAGGTACAGAACGGCGTGCTGCATACTGTTGTCTGTAAACCTGAGAATAGAAACTATGTCTTTTCTTGAATATATAAGAAAACATCTCTGCAAAACATCCAAGAAACTGACAACATTAGCTGATGATAGGCAACTGGGAGGTAGAGTTGGAAGGAAGCCTGCACCACCTACCCTTTTGTATATTTTACATTTCTGAACCCTGTAGATGTATGAGCGGGCTTCAAAAAGGTCGAAGAAAAATGAAATTGAAAAATAATAAAATCTCGCCAGGAACCATTTGAAGCACCCTCCTATTGCCTAGTCGAAAACAACTGCAAAAAGCATGAAATCACAACCACTGTGGAAAACAAGAAAAAGTAACATCGACATGAACTCAATGTCGAGACACACCAGGAAGCCAGAAAGCCAATGACTTTGGACTAGGAGTGAAATTAGAGTGGAAAACATGGCAATTCAAGAAATTAGAGAATTTTCCCCAAGGTAGCACCAGCCTCTGAGCAGCGCAGAGCAGGGATGGGGTCAGGGACGACCACTGGGTAACTCAGCCATCACCAACCGAGACCGGTGGGCCCTTTTCTTTTCTCTCCTTTCCCCCAACAGACCATTTGTCCGCAGTAAAATTTGGCCTTTGTCTTCAGGCTGAAGTTGCCGCAGACCGGGCCAGGCAGGGCACTGAGGCCTGGCTATAGAGAAAAAGAAAACAAAAGGAAAACCAGCTTTGCTCAAGAGTGTCAGCCTCTAAAGGGCTCCGCCCTTAGAGAAAAGCCCTCCCTACTTTATCAATTGTGGGGGTCCCTGGCCTTCCTGCCTCTCCACCCACATAACCTAAAGGGGAGTTTGCATGTTGACAGGCCCTACCAACTTACACAGAACCCACAGTCAGCCTTCCTATTCCAGAGAGAGGTTTGCAGGGGAAACGCTTCAACACGACTGCAGGGGAAACCCGTGCAATCTACCTATAGTAACCAACATGGTTTTACATTCTAACTATGACAAGGCAACGAAGACCTGGAGAGGAAGATATTTGAGGACATCTATCAACATGAGACTCTGCTCCTCTCACGATTCAGTCTCCAGCATTGTGTATCGGACTGCTATGAGTCGCAGTCAGCTTGAAGTCAGTGGGTTGGGCTTGGCGTTTGGATCAACATGAATGAGAAGGTAGATTACGAAGCTCATGGAAGTAGTTGCAGAGGAAAGAGACCATGACAACCTAGGGAAAAACATAGAGCAACTCTATCCTGATTGGTATCGCTGGCGAAGCTAGCTGGGATTATTCTCCAAGGCTTGACTGTTTCACCATTTGCTCTTATATTGAACAACTATTTAGACTCTAAATTTTAGAGGTTCCTCACAATGTTTAGGGGCCAAGGATTGCGAGAATTGTTTTAAAATGTATTTTGCCTCTCTTTCTTCTAGGAGCCAGTGCTGCGGAAGTCAGGCTAGTCAATTACAAAGCGATGTGACAAATGTTATGGTAGATGAAGCACCAAACAGGACACCTTGTTAACTGGGAGGGGGTGCATCACAGAAAGGATAACTTTTAAGGATTAATGGGAAAGAGAAGAGGGGTCCGTACGCGCACAAGGAGCAGCATGCTCAAGCACAGACTAGTTAGGGCAATGAAACTAAGTCAAAATGGCTGATGCTTAGGATTGAGCTTCTGTCCTCCAGGCTGGGATTTTTTCCGAAGAACAAACAAGATTCTGATTCATTTAAATCTTTTATATGTACTGGAAAACATTTTACTAGCAGAAACGGTGACTGTTTGAGCTAATCATCATTATAAAATCACAACCACGAATACTCATACCAAAAACAAGGGACTGAAGCATGGTGCATTCTTTTTTGTTTTTCCCTTAATACTTATTTGCTGTGGCTCAAGCACTAACTAGCAGAAAACAGTAATGGGCTACAGGGTCTTAAGAAATCTCTGCACTTGTTGCTGTAGAGCTATGGCTCTGTGGTTTAGCATTGGGCTGCGATCGACCACCAAGGTCTGCACTTCCAAACCACCAGGTACTGCTCCCGGCCAGAGTCACAGTCTGAAAAAAATATTGCTATGAAACTGATTGTGGTAGCATCTGTACAGCACTGCTTTATATGGTTGAACTATGGAATGGTCTGATGTCTGGATTAGGTCCTAATAAAAGAGTTTTCTGTAAGAAAAAAAACCTAAAGCATTAGTTAATTTAATCCATTAACTTCATTCTCTCTGTGAACTAGTAAAAAATGACCAATAGCTGATCTAATTTGCAGAAACCTTCATGTGCTTCATGGATTCACAAGTTTCTTGCCAACGAAGTTTGAGGAATTATTTCTAAAAACATTAGGAAGCTGAGCGGATAAAAGGAGACCCAACAGCAGGATGGTGACTCTTCTATGGAGAAGAAATGGGCTCACCTTTTAACAAGAACAACAAGGCTGTCGTTCTGGACAACACCACAGGATCGAGGTTCATGGCAATTGACGATGATAGTGAAAACCGTGAAAGGGCATGGGAATCACCCAAAGAAAACATGATGAATTCGAAGACAAGGCAAGAAGAGTGAGATTGGGGGTTACCAAAAAGTCAAGGATATCAGAGTAAGGTGAAGAGGAAAGGGGGTCTCATGGACAAAGATTCTGAGAAGGAGAAGCCCCTAAGAAGACAATAGTGTAGCAGTCAAGAGAGGAGAGTGTCCAGAAGAATTGTTCAATACAGCCATAAAAAAGTGACTAACCATGGAAAACGAATGTTCAGCCCAAATTATTCAACTAATAATGGTAGGAGTGGCTTCTGGGGACTACTTGTGGGCAGAGGACAGACTGTAAGTAGGTGGGAAAGCAGGAAATGGAGGCAGACAATTTGGACAGTTCTTTCGTGAGGTGGGTTGAGTAAACAAACCCTGACTTGATCCGATTCTTGGTGACTCCTTCAGTGTTCTCTCGTGTGTCCCAGGGCCTTGGCTGAGCTCTTAAGTGTCCTGGCAGCTCTGGCATTCTGTGATGGGATCCAATTGCCCTTGGAGAGATCCTTAAGGTCATTTTGACTGAGGTAATCATTTTCCTTCCATGGAACTAAGGGTCTAAGAACTGAAGCCTTTTGACTTGGGTGATCAAAGTTCATCACGTGCATGGAAGCCACCTACTTGGCAGGTGCAGTGAAAAGCTGCGCAGATCTAGGCCCCGGACAGGATGCTGGGGCGTGGGAGGGGAAGAAAGCAGGTGCTAGCTATACAGACAACGTGCCTATCAGAGCAGCTTGCTGCATTTCCTACTGTCTCTCAAAACGATTTTGTAGGAATCACCAAAGCAATCTTATCATGGTTTCTAAACCAAGTTGGGACGTAAGGTAGGGCTTTCCGTAGTTGCTTTTATTTTGAAGGCAATCTGATAAAACCACGTCTGCATAATCCTACATATCAATGGTTCAATTCATAGCTTAGACTTTGAGTGTATTTTTGATGTTGTTCTTGCTTGTTTTCTACTAGTATGTAAGAAGTTGGCAATTGTTGGAAAACTCATGTCCCAGGCTAAACAAATGGCCAAAAATCCAGAAAAAATTCTGTGTTAAGACTTTTCAAACTCTTTGGTCAATGCTCACAGCAACCTATAGGAAAGACAAAGCAGGTGCCATCATCCTCGTCGGACAGGAGGAAATTGAGACCCAGAGAGGTGAAGCGATTTCCGAAGGTTCGTAGCGAAAGACTAGAATTCAAGGCTCTTTACTGCAGCCCATGTTCCCTGTTCTCAACCATTACATTGGTATCAGCAGTTATCGGGTGCATTGGTACCAGGTGGCCAGGCTAATGTCCCCCCTTTCTTCTCCATTTCAGAATTCTAGTTTGTTTTCTACTTCTCTTGGCCTGTGTATTTTTCTTGGCTTATCTTTCCTGCCTAAAACTATCAGCCATGTGTCAATCCTTCTATCTTTGTTCTACACCATCTAGACATGACCTGAAAAGCTACTGGGAGTTCATTGAATTAAAATAGTTAAGCAATAAAGTCTTCAAAGTCTCACTTGCGAAAAGAAAATTCATTAGTGGCATCCCAGTCATGAACTCAATCCAAACTTTTGTTGACATTTGTTTCTGTCCCCATCTACCAGGTTCCCACTTTATATTAGTCAGATTGAAATTGAAATAGGTCTGTTGCTGGTGGATTAATTTCTCACTTTCCTTGAAACTGGCGAGCCCTCAAAAAAGTTAGACAGTGATAGGAAAATACTGCCATTGTCTGTTGCGAGGTCTATGACAGTTCTAGGCAAGAATGAATATATGGAAGAAGAAGCAAAAGGGAAAGCCTGGAAGTGAATGATATGAGTATAACCAAAAAAAAAAAAAAAAAACCCTTTACGTAACGTTTTTTGACGGGAGAGAAGACTACGAAGCACATTTTCCAGGAAGTGTGGGCTGCAACGATTGTGCGCTCTTAACTAATCCTGAGTAAGGTGGCCACTTTGACAGTCTTCTCATGCTGCCTCTGCCACCTGCGCAGCCAGAAGACACCATTTCAACTCTAACAAAGCATGATAGAAACGTACAGTCAACCTTCTCCCCGCTCTGTGGCCACTGGACCTCCTGTCGGCATGAAAATTTTCATGTATTTACTGACTGTTTTTCTTATCGCCCAGATGATTGGGTCGGCATTTTTTGCTGTGTATCTTCACAGAAGGTTGGACAAGGTAAGATGAACCACAAGCCTTTTCTTAACCAAATGTGGGGTTCTTACTGATTTCTGCCGCTTGGTCTCATTTCTATCAAATGGTGGACAATGGTAGAAACCCAAAGAGATAAACGGTTTCTGTGGCATAAGATTGGTTATCTATTCAGGACAATGTCACATTCGTGTCTCAGGTTAAGAGTTTGGGCTCTGGAGGCAGAATGCCTGGGTTGAAATCGTATCCCTCTTCCTACCAGCTCAGTGATTCTGGCCAAGTTACATTTGTGTGCCTCGGTTTCCACATCTGAGAAATGGGGACAATAATGGTAACCACCCCAGAGGTTAAATTGGCCTAGCCAGAGAAATAACTTAGGACAGTGCCTGCAGACCGTAAGTACTGCAGAGGCATGAATGATGATGACTTGCTAAGGTTTGGCTTACAAAGGAAAAAGTTAAAAACAGAGACACGGTTTTTTTCCTTTGAAATTTCCAAGTCGGAAAGGAGAGCACCAATTTGATCTGAAGTGCCCTAGCACCTCAGATCAGTATAGACACGGGTAAGTCGTAGAATTTGCAGTCCTTTAGTGAGAGCCGTGTTCTTTGTACAACTCTTCAAATGCTACTTGGAGTCGCCAGCTACTCAGTTGCATTATTAAATGGTTGGAGTTACTTAAGGGACACAATTGTAGCGTCACTCAGCAGGCGGTTTCGCGTGGTGAGAACAAAAAACCTTGACGATGTGCCCTGCTTCCACTGTGTTCGTCCATGTCCACTGCGAGGCATGATTGCGGTGTTAACAAACCCTCAGTCAATGGTAAACAAGAGATCTTGGATCAGCTATCAGCTGGGAACTCTGGATGTAGACACTGTGGGAATGACTGCATTGTCTCCGAGATGTTTGGGCAACTTGTATTGTGCTCCCAAACAAAACAAGCCTATTGCAGCTGCGGGCAGCTCCGACTTACAGTAATCCTGTGGGAACAGAGCAGAACTGACCGTGACCCAAAGGCTTGCCGAGGCTGTCAGTCTTTCCCGGAGCAGACTGCCTCATCGTTCTCCCTTGAAGTGGCTGTTGGGTTTAAACCGCTGACCCTTCAGTTAGCCGCTGAACATCTTAACCGGAGCCCCTCCACCTCCGGGGCTCCGCCAAGGCGAATGGAGCCATGCAAAGCCCATTGCTGTGGCGTCAATCCCTAGTCTTGGAGCAGAGAAGAGCTGCATTTGACTTTGAATCTGAAAATCTAATATGAAGACAAAATTATACAGAATTGGGTGACTACACAGATGAATTCCATACAATTAATTAAGACGTTGGAAAACACAATGTCTTGTTTACACTTGAGATAATAATTTCTTTTTAGAAATGCAAATGTATTCTGTGCAAAATAATGGTCTAGAAGAAAGAGAGAATTAGAACTTGAGTTGACAGGCATTGCAGTTAACTTCTTTTTCCCAACCACGACATCACAAACAAAATTAAAATAGGCAAATAAGACCCGCAGAGAAGTATATTATAGGATGTGTATAGTATATAATGATCAATCATTAATGGAGTCCTGGGAGATACGACACTTATTGAATATTGCAACTAGGTTGCCGTTATTGTTAGGTACCGTCACTGGAAAAAATGTGTACAGTGAAATAAAATTTTATTACAATAACTAATTTCTACCTGGGGTTTCAAATAAAATGACATTTTAATATCTTGTGTCTGTAGATGTTGAAAACTGGAAAAAATAACAATTATCCAGCATAATAATCTGTTATTTCTCATTTAAACACACACCCCCCCCCCATGTTCTCCTATGGAACCCTGGTGACGTAGTGGTGCTGCGATGGGCTGTTAACCTCAGGTCAGCATCTCAAAACCACCAGCCCTCTGAGGGAAAAAGATGGGGCTTTCTACTCCCATAAAGAAATTACAATCTTTGTAACTCGCAGGGACAGTTCTATCCACCATGGAGTTGCTAGGAGTCGGCATCTACTTGATGGCAGTGGATGGCAGTGGTTTGATTTGGGGGCTTACAATTCTCCAGTAACCATAGAGCAGTGGTTCTCAGCCTTCCTCAGGCCGCAACCCTTTCATATAGTTCCTCGTGTTGTGGTGAACCCCCAACCATAAAATTATTTTCGTTGCTACTTCATCACTGTTATTTTGCTACTGTAATGAATCGGGCAACCCCTGCAAGAGGGTAGTTCGACCCCCAAAGGGGTCGCGACCCACAGGTTGAGAACCGCTGCCAGAGAAGGACATTATGTTTGGTAAAGTAGAAGGGCCGCAAAGGAGAGGAAGGCCCTCAAGAAGATTGACACTGAAACTGTCCCAATGGGCTCGATCACTGGAACAGTGAGGATAACACAGGACCAGGCAGTGCTTCGTCCTGTCGTGCATACGGTCGCTCTGGGCACAGCAACGTCCATAGAAGTGAATGTGGAGCCGCCACCATTAGCCACATTCTCCTACTGATTTACATTTCAACATGTCTCTGTCTTTTTCACAAACAGATAGACGAGGAAAGGAATCTTCACGAAGACTTTGTATTCATGAAAATGATACAGCGATGTACCAAAGGAGAAGGGTCCTTGTCCTTACTCAACTGTGAGGAAATTAGAAGTCAGTTTGAAGGCTTCGTCAAGGTAAGCGGTTCAGTTGTTGGTGAACGTGTCAGTGAAAAGTTCTACTGAAATCTGACCACATAAAAATGGAAAACCTTTGTACTAGATGTGTGCCTGTGTATCAACAAATCAAAAGCCAAGGCGAAATACTATGGTACAAGGGAAAGGAAAGTTGGAAGTAGGCAGGTTCCTACAGGATCAGAATAAAAAACCCTCGGGGGAAACAGCGGGCTCTCCTAGGCACCATTTACACCTATACACCCACATGCATGCGCCTGCCTCTGGACAACATTATGAAGTAGGTCCAAGCTTTTGGATGGTGTCTTGTTGTTATTGATTACTTCTTTTATCTCCCCATTCAATCCTCCATACTCCCCGCTCTGGACTCATGGTCTGGTCTCCATTCCCCTCCAGCCTTGACAGGCCACAAGTTAAGTTCTCATCTTGACTGGGAGTAGTAGGGACTCTTGAAGACAGATAGCTATGAAGCAATGCTTCTGTGATGACGGGACTTCAGGTATCGTGACAATGAGGCGGTTTTCCACCCCCTGTGCTGTGGGGAAGGGGACAGTGGATAGGCAGTGGATCCTCTCAGTTAAACTCAAATCAGACTCTACATGATACCCATTGCTCATGAACCCCGTCCCCTCTGGGGGCAACCATGACCGAGGCAGAGCAAGTTCAAAGCCTTCTAGCCTAACAGACTGGTACACAGTGCAAAGGCACTGCAGCGATTGTGGTACCTAAAACCAGGATTTTGCACACCTTTTCTGAGGGTGCATCTACAACATGTATTACCTCACCACAGCCATGGGCTCTAGGACATTTTTTCTGAGGCAGAGCTTCAAGAATGCTTTCTGCCCTTTCCCCTCTCGAAACAAGGAACCGAATACTCTTAGACTTCAACTCCTCTTGAAGTCGTATCTAAGAGGTTGAACTCCACGGTGAACACAGCTCTGTGCCAGGTGGGCAGGTGTCTGGATAAATCACTATCTATTAGGTCTTGCGTGTCGGCCAAGTGTAACTTAACCCAGGAGTGACGATTCTAAGAGGGTTGCCTCCAGGTGTCCGAATGCGGCTCAAGACCTCTGCTAGTTCTCAGGTTCTTTACACTAATCTAGGTTGCAGATTACCCGTACCTAACCTGCTATTTACAAATTTTTGGCTGGCCAGTCTCAGGAAATATTGAGCTTTTTCTGGTGCTTTGGGAATTCTGGCCAATATGATAGAGTATTGGGAAGGCTTGTACATTTAAATGTTCTCCAAAAAATGTTACAATAACAGTTTATGATCAAAATAGCATATTGAATGTGCATGACTACGTGACCTGGGAAAATGACTTCACTTCTCTGGCCATGAGTTTTCTTCTTCTTTTTTTGGTAATCTCTGGACCACTTCACGAACCTAAGAACTTTTTCCAAAGGTCCAACACCTGCATGGCAGTGAACTTCACCCCAAATCCTGTGCTTTCTAAACCCTGCGGGCGAAGCTAAAACGGGAGAGTAAGGGACACCGCTCCAGCCCTGGCCCGCCCCACCAGCTGAGTTTTCTTCATTCTAAAAGGCGACAGTTGGGATTATCTGTGTCATCTCACAGAACACTGCCAGCTCTGACCTTCTGTAAGGATGTGACTAGCCTTCAATTCCTTCCCATGGCAATAAGAGCTGTAGTTGGCTTTGTTTTCTTTCTTCTCCTTGTCTCTTTCTTCCTGAGAGTTTGTCCATTGAACTGAGAAGTCTACATGTTTGTATTTCATGCCAGAGATATAAAACTTCCACAATTACCTGCCCGTGACTGGAGAATGGAAACTGGGGAATGTTTGGCCTCCCTACTGAGGCTTGTATATTAAAAAGTAATCGATCCAAAATGTCCCGTTCTGTAAGGATAGACCGTCTCAAACATGAGCCTGGGTGACCTCCTTCCCTGTGACAGAGAAGGCCCCTTGCCTTCTACTGTAGCCGCTGTGGGACCTCAGTCAATGCCATCTGTACCTAAGGTACTCACGATGTGTACACAAAATCCTCCAACTACCCAATCCCCTTGCAATCCCTGACTCCCTTTCCATCATCCATTCCCCAACATGACTTATTCTAAAATAACGCTTGGGGGTTTATTATTATGATTTGTTTGTTTCAAACAACGGGGCCATGATAGAGTAACCCCTGACCAGATTTGTGTGTTCTTAGGAAAGGTCAGCAGGGTTTCTTTTTGAGCCACCTAAAAAGTTTGCCAGTGGGCCTTCCCATCACAGAGCTTGAAGAGTATCATACAAATCATCACATTCAATTTGCAATTTCCAGAACGTCCAGTCTTCTCCTCACTGTCCCTCAGAATGGTGGTGTTTTCCAGAAGCATTGCCCTGTTAACCAGAGAGCTGGCGGTGCAGAGGCACCAGCCGTTCCATGGGAAAGCAATGAGACTACCTGCTCTCACGACAGCTTACAGCCTGAGAACTCCTACATAGGGTTGCTACGAGTCTCAATGGCAGTGGAATTAATGGCCAGCAACGCAGTGCCTCTTGAAGCAGGGAGCACCAAACTGTTAGTCTGGGGGAAGCTAGGACTCAAGATTTTGGTGGGGGAAGCGGAGACAAGGTTTTGCACAGTGGGATTTTACACCGAAAGTCACCATCCAGCCACCCAGCCACCCACCACCTATCTCAACAATCTGTCCCATAATGATCTTGCCACCAAAGCCTGTGGTCCCCTCATAGAGTTCCTACTACGAGAGAAATCGCGAATCCCAGATTTTCTGATGTCAACTTTTTCAAATCTTTCCTTTGAGGTGGGGAATGAAACAAGCCAAAAAAAAAAAAAAGGCCCCGGGGAGTGTGGCTAGGGGAAAGTTCACAGAAAGGCAGCGCTGGGCACATAAAAGGCAGGATTGCTGACTTCACATTTTCACCTCGGCCAAGCCCTGACACCAAGGCACCCACTTAGCCTAAAAGTATCTCAAGCTCGATCATCACACTCCATTTTTTGAACATACACGAAATAGTCATTTGTTTACTTATCTCGAACACATTTTCCTGTCGCCGCATTTGCACAGTGCAGTGCGTCAACTTGAATGGAAAGTTGAGCCTTTGCAGCCCGTGTGAGCGTTTTGAGATGCAGCCAACGGGGCTGAGTCTATACGCTCAAAAGGAACAGCGAGGACGACTCGCTCCAGCTCTGAGAAGGAGCACAAGAACTTTGATTCTCTGAACATGTAAACATGCTGCTCTCTTCCCCTCTTCGGTTCAGAATGATGGCGGGAGGGGAGCCTAGCCTATGAATGTGATCTAGTCATTTCTGTTCTTGACTTTGGCCTCCGATTCTCTGAGGGAGCTCACTGTCCAGTGTCTCCAGATGCTGTTGACATGTGTGTCAGAGTAGCCCTGTGATCCAGAGGACTCTCAATGGAGGAGCTTCCCCAAGGCTTCCAGAGTGCCTCTAGGTGAACTTGAACCGCTAACCTTTTGATTAACAGTTGAGTGCAGCAATAGCCTTCATCTTGCAACTTGTGTTTGATAGCAGCCCCTGTTCGCATCTTTAAGTCCTTCTAGGTTTCCTTCACTTGGTAAGTGTGAAGCATTGGCCTTTGAACATCAGCAGCCTTGGTAGATGACCTGTTTCCTAAATGCTGATTATTCTAAATAAATACAGATCATTCGGTGCAACTAGCAACAAGACAATCTTTTCAGTTCATTAAAAGGGGAAAGAACTTTTTTTTTTTAATGTCGGAAGGTCTTTCCATAATCTGGGAGTTCTCTCCTGAGATCAAACTTAACCTTTTCCTAAGAGCTTTCAGGCCACTTTTATCCTAAGAGCTACAACCCAATGATTTCTGTTTAATAATAGTCCATATACCAGAACCCAGGGTTGAAACATCTTCTAAGTCAGTATTATTTATCAATCTCTGTCAAAACCAGGAAGGTTGAGGTCACAGGAGGGGGTCAGGATCCCAGCCTCTGATCTACAGAAAGCATTGCAATGGAGATCATAAGACTGGGATTCTGCGTCAGGATTCACCTCAGGCTCCCAGTTGGTATGATGAAATTCATGACAGGATCTGGTCATCCGCCTCAGAAACAATAAGGACAAGCGCCAAATGATGACTAGCATCTCAAACCCCACCTGCCCAAATGATCTTTTGCAATGATTTTTATTTTAGGGCATAATGCTAAATGAAGAGACAAAGAAGACAGAAAAAACGTTTGAAATGCAAAAGGGTAAGTTACCATTGACCAATTTCTTACAAAATGAAAGGAAGTTTAGTTGGATTATAATTGAATAGTCCAGTGTTGAATCTAGAAACTTTTAAGTCTGGAAGGAAAACAAATTGACACCTTCTCTGGCCCCTGTTGTTTGGAAAACCTTCATGTGTACATAAAGTCATGAAGACTTTCATGCTGACAAGACCAAGTGTGAAAAGATCCCTTTCTGTGTAAGCTGTGTTCACAGCAACCAGATAGCCTGATACCACCCACCGAAAGAGGGAAATACGATAGGAAAGCCCTTATTTGGTAGCAGTGGCAGCCTGTGCTCACTGATAAGACTTTTTCACGAGGAACAGTGGCTAAGTGGAGTTGCTAGGGTCAAGGAGTGATTTCTAGGACAATGTTCTCAACCCTCCTCCTGACATCATAGACTCTCAGAGTGGGAAAGATCTGGGCGGTTTTCCAACCCAGGATTATCCCCAGAGCACAAGTCCCCTTCCCAGTAGCACTGACTGCCTGGTCTTTGATTGAAGCTGCCTAGGGATGAGGCAACTTCTACCCCATAAGGAAGTTGGACTCGCCTAAAGATAGCTGTAATGATGGTAGTAAGGTTGCTACACTGCCTACTTGTAATCTGTACTTGCTGCGCCTTGTTCTGCTCTTTGGGCTGATAGCAAGCAAATGATCGTTGGTCTCCTACCCTGCAGCTGCCCAGGTATTGAAGACAATCCTAAGTGTGGTCCTCTGAGCCTTTTCTTCCCCAGGCTTACCATCATCAGTGCCCAATGTTCTCCCGATGGCACTTTCCAGATCATTCCTCTCCTCGTTTCTCTGTCTCTGAATGCCTTCGCGTTGCTCTCTTCCTCTTTGAAGGTAGTACTCCAAACCGAACACAGTAATTTCTGAAATAATCTTAGCGACAGAGTATGGCGACGGTGGAGTGGTAATCAAGGGGTGTTGGTAGAAAGACATAGAGAAAGAGGAAAAGCATGGTGCTCTGGCCTTGTCGATGTAGCCCCCACACAGAGAGAGAAATACAGAATTACAGATCTTGCTTCTGAGGCAAAGGGAGCACTCAGAGCTTGTCTTCACTTTTCGGCTGGATGCGAAGGGTCACCAGCTTTCCATGAAGGCGATGCCTTCGAGACGACCGACTGCACGATATGTTCACTAGCTGCAGGTTGTGTGTTAGTTACGGTGAAATTTGAGGGAACCATTTCTGTGGAGGCTGCCTAGCAGTCTTCAATACAGTGGAAAACTTAGCCAGACTGGGAATTCAGTTTATAGGATCCATAAAGTATCCAGTACTAGGCTCATAAGGTGGGGGCGAAAGGAACTTCCACATATTTCTGCCCTTTGGAATTTGGCACATCTAATTAAGAAGCAACACGTTCACATAAGGTGCCATGAGAGAAGGCTACAATGACTAGTTTGACCAGTTGCTTGTCTGAATCAGACACCAGAAGCATCTAACTAACTTACTTACTAACTATGTGAATCTGTAAACAAGACCTGAGGTCTCACTAAGATGCCTAATGCATAGGAGTTCTTCACAAATGTAACTCTGTACTATGCTGAATGAAAACTGTGTTTTAGGTCTGTGTCACCCTATGCTCATGGGCATCGAGGACTAAGTGACTATTAAGAGTCTGAGAGCAATGGGAACACCCACCTCGACGGTTGAAATTTGTCGAAACTCAACCTTTCCCATAGTGGAAACAATTCCAGACCTGTTTATTCTCCCTTTCACGTAGTCTATTCATAAGACTGGACCAAATAGTTCTGTGCGCAGTTTGGTATTATTTTGGCCTGAACGTTTGCTTTGGGTGTGATTTCAGGTGATCAGGAGCCTCGAATTGCAGCTCATGTCATAAGTGACGCCAGCAGTAAAACAGCATCCGGTGAGTCCCACCGCAGTCTGCGGGTCAAGGAGGAATGCTGGGGTGCTGAAACAATGCGGCCCAGGCTCCTCTGCTCCTCTGAGACCCAATTGGCAAGGCTTCCCCTGCACCTCCCATATGCTCTCCTTTGGCTTCAAAGTGAGCTAAAATGCCCAGATGCGACTTGAGGGACATAGGGATGTGGGAAGCGGTCTCCTTGTCCTGATTATGTTCTTGTTCAATGGCTGCTTCCAAATGATGAATTGCTGGGTGGAAAGACCATTGCTCGACATCAAAGGAAGGACAGGTAGTGACCTCCTGACTGGAAACATCCCTCCTCCCAACCTCGGTTCACCCGCTTGTCAATGGGCCTCGAGGAGGGGTATTTCCTGCCATCTGCCAATCCCAGTGTGATTAACCACAGCCTCCCTGCGGCCAACCTCAGGGAAATTAAAGGTAAAACCAATGCTGCAAAGATCAATAGGTGCTGGGATGTTAGATTTTCCAATGAAGTAACGACAGATGACATACTGTGATCTTTTCAACGTGGAACGATTTTATTTCCATACATGCTCTGCCATCAGTCTAGCCCTTAGATCTTTTTTTTTTCTTCCCAAATCGGTACCATGTGATAGCTGGTGCTGGAGAATCTGATAAATGGATGGAAACATACGCGCGAGCATAAAATCTCCCATCAACATAAAGGCAGTTCTAGAGCCTCAGCGCAGTCTTTGAAAAATTCAGCAAAGTGGTTTGGAAAGGAATACAAAAGCGAGACAGGCAGCGAGAGAGGGCCTGAGAACAGAACAAGACGCCACCTTATCGCCAAGATAGTTTCGGCTTTTCGGTGGGTGGAACACATGGCAACGTCATCCTGGGATGGACATCAGTCAGAGGGAAGTTTGGCACACTGGCGTCAAGGACCGTGGCTGCCACCTGCTTGCTTGTGCAGCAGTTTCCTGCCTCATCTGCTTTGCAGGGTTGCAACTGTGCATCACATCGGCTAAGGTGTCACTGCTCAGTTTGACTGTAGTGTGTAGATCACAAGCCATCCTCTCTCAGAAAACTACACTTAGAGGACAGCGTCAAGTTTATTGACGTTTCCAACGTGATCTTCCACAAGGCACCTTCACATTTGGGTTGGCTAACAGCAACAGAGAAGTCTCCCTGAAAAAATAGCTGTCCACGGCTCTTTGTCCTGAATCCCGTTGGGGATTTTCTTTTTGCCTTTGGATTTTTTTCAGGGGGCTCAGATTCTCCCCAAAGGCCCTTGTTAGACATTGTGCCTAGAATATTTTACAGACTGCATCGCAGTAAGAAAGCCTGCCCGGGGTTCAAGTGAGAACGTTTCTTATTGTCATCGGGTCATGCTGTTCCCAAACGGCCTGAAAGATGGGGCTCCAACCCCTTCATTCTCCATCAAATGGTCCCCAAGTGACATGCTGGGTATTGGTGGCTGTGTCAAAAACATCCTGATGAAGCATCCCTTTCTGAAGTGGTCTGCGCCACCTCACACCCCCGCCCCCCAAAAGTCAGACTTTTCAGGATACCCCTTTATTCCTAAAGGATGCATTTTAGTAGGAAGGGTCTCACACTCGAATTGGTTAAAGACTACCTAATAGGAATCAAAAATTGGCTCAAGGAAGCATTCGAACTTCACTTCTCCCCCGCCCCCACTGCACCTCCATACACCTCGGTGGGAGCTGAGATTTGCAATCAGGTGCACAAACCACTTTGAACCCACTCACCATCTCAGCCGAGAAAATGGCAAACTGATGGTGGGTACTCAGCTTAGCCACAAGAACACAGGTCCTTTCAAGTCAATGGCACCCACTACAAGGGGAGATCAAAACCCACAGTGCAATGACAGGTTTATTTTCATACTTCCTTGCCTAATTTTAGTTGTTGCTGTGGGTGTGTGGCAGCATGCTCGGTAAAAAGAAACGGGGTCTCTCCTTTTCTCTAAACTGAGGCTGAGCTAAGTGGACTAGGAATGCATTAGCAATATAAAATTCAAGGCAAGCAATCTTTTTTTTTTAATCATTTTATTAGGGGCTTATACAACTCTTATGACAATCCATACATACATCAATTGAGTAAAGTGCATTTGTACATTCATTGCCCTCATCATTCTCAAAACATTTCCTCTCCACTTAAGCCCCCGACATTAGGTCCTCCTTTCCCCCCCCCCCCTCCCCACTCCCCCCTCCCTCGTGGTCCCTTGATAATTTATAAATTGTTATTTTGTCATATCGTGCCCTGTCCGACGTCTCCCTTCACCCACTTTTCGGTTGTCCAAAAGGAGAGGAGGTCACATATAGTTCCTTGTAATCGGTTCCCTCTTTCCTACCCACTCTCCCTCTACCCTCCTAGTATCACCACTCACACCACTGGTCCTGTAGGGATCGTCCGCCCTGGATTCCCTGTATTTCCAGTTCCTATCTGTACCAGTGTACATCCTCTGGTCTAGCCAGACTTGCAAGGTAGAATTCGTGTCATGATAGTGGGAGCGGGGAGGAAACATTTAGGAACTAGAGGAAAGTTGTATTTTTCATCGTTGCTACATTGCACCCTGTCTGGCTCATCTCCTCCCCGAGACCCCTCTGCAAGGGGATCTCCAGTGGCCTATTAATAGGCTTTGGGTCTCCACTCCGCACTCCCCCCATCATTCACTATGGTAAGATTTTTTGTCCTGATGATGCCTTATACCTGATCCCTTCGACACCTCGTGATTGCACAGGCTGGTGTGCTTCTTCCATGTGGGTTTTGTTGCGTCTGAGCTTGATGGCCGCTTGATTACCTTCAAGCCTTTAAGACCCCAGACGCTATACTTTTTGATAGCAAGGCAAGCAATCTGTTGAGGTTCGTATTAACAAGGATTTTGTCTGAATAATTTAGCATGTGTAACTTATGGCAAGAAATTTCGAAAGCATGGGCATTTTTTTTTATCCAAGGGAAAATTGGTTTTAACTATTGTGGGTGGCTGCTAGAATGGCTGGTACTCTCTGCTACCACAAGTCTCTGAGATAGGCTTGAATATTAGCCCCATGTGACAGATACAAAGGACACCCCCAGAAGGTGCAAATGATTGCATGCTCAGCTGCTAACCACGGAGGTTGGTGGTTTGAATCCACCGAGGGGCACCTGTGATGAAAGGCCCGGCAATCTACTTCCCCCAAAGTCAGACTTTGAAACCTTATAGAGTACAGTTCTTCTCTGAAACACATGAGATCACTGAAAGTCCAAATCCAGTCAATAGCTCGGGGTGTTTTTGTTTGGCTTTGGCTACAGATGAGGCACTGAGGTTCAGGGAGCTTTAGTGACTTGCCCAAGCGTGTATGAAGCCCAAAGTGGAACCAGATTCCAACGGACTCTAAAGCCCATGCTGATTTCTCCGATGCTTCGGAGGGCTGGCAGGGCCCTGCAAATTCCCAGTACCCAGATCTTCCAGCTGTCTATGTATCCCACTTGGAACTCTATTTCCTACTGCAATATGAAACATGCTATGCTTCCCCTCACCATAATGTTCTCCCTTCTTCATTTCAGTTCTACAGTGGGCCGAAAAAGGATATTACACGATGAGCACAAAGTTGGTAGAGCTCAAATATAAGAAGCAGCTGACCGTTCAAAGACAAGGATTCTATTATATCTATGCTCAAGTCACCTTCTGTGCCAATCAGGGAGCTTTGGGACAAGTGCCGTTTATAGCCAGCATCTGCCTGAGGTCCCCAAGTGAATCCGAGAGAATCTTACTCAGAGCGACAAATACCCACAGTTCCACCAAACTTTGTGGGCAGCAAACCATCCACCTGGGCGGAGTTTTTGAATTACAACCCGGTGCTTCAGTATTTGTCAATGTGACTGATCCAAGCCTCGTGAACCATGGGACTGGCTTCACGTCTTTCGGCCTGCTCAAACTCTGAACAACGAAACTTCCCAGGGAAACTGCAGCTGAGCTGACGCAGGCGGTCCTCCTAATACAGCAAAGCAGTTAAGACCACCCCCTGTCGAACTGCCTATTTATAACCTTAGGATCTTCCTCCTGGAGAGCTATTTATTACTACACCCCAAGCACGTAGGGCTGTAATCAGTGAATTGCAGGGTGGGAAAACCCCAAACACGTCCTGCTTCCATGAGAGCTTCTATTTGAAAGCAGAAGCCCCGCTGGTACAGACATCTAGAGGTCATGCGCAAAGAGAAAATCCTCACGCACGGCGTGAATGCTGAGCAAAGCAATGATTCGCCAAGTTTCATTTTGTTTCTCTTGAGTGCAATGTCTTTCAGTGGACCGTGTGTTTGATTCTCAGTGGAGATGTGGTAGGGAAATGGGGAGAAGCCTGTTTCTACCACTTACCCTGATACTTGGTCGCCACCCACTCCCACCTCTCTCTCCACACACTCACACACAGAGTCTGGTAGTTGCTAATCAGTTACCTAATTCCAACCCCGTCCCAGTCTCCCCCACTGTAGGTGAAGGAGGGCAGGGACAGCAGCCCCGAGCCCTGTCCACGGCTCATCATGAAGGGACCATATTTAAAGGAAATCTCTTGTATCTATCTGCAGTCTCCATTGTTTCCAGCGAGACCTGATGATTATCTTGTTATTTATTTTTTGAATAATAAAGATTTGATAACATTACTGTTGTCCTGCAATATCTAAAAGCCCTATGCTGGGTTGGGGGGAGGACGAGGTCTTTGGAGGGAATCGTGCAAACCCTTGTGATGTTCCATGAGGAAGTCTGAAGTTTGTTACATCACTGAATATCATGGGGAGCGCCGACTCTCTGGCAGTTTGCTATCGTCTTTGATTGATGATGTGGAGACCTGAGAAGCAAGCTGGGTCTTCTTGCCATCGTCCTCTAGACTGGTTGCGCTGAACTGAAGGGGGATGAGGACTTAAAGGGGAAACAATAGCTTACCTTTGAAACCCGCGTCTAGGGGCTTCCACTTTAGGCTATAAGGAAATAGATCTGGGAAAGGCCGATGGGGAGTCAAGAGAGCCCTTCCTGGTCACCTCTTACCAAGGGATTTGTCACCTCCGAAGGCCAGCGGCTTCTTCATCTTAACTGCTAAAGAGCATTGTGTATGACAAATGACCCCCATCCAACTCACTGCCTCCGAGTCCACTCTGACTCATGGCGAGCTGCTAACCTCAAGGTGAGGAGTTTGAAACCACCAGCTGCTCCTCATGAGAAAGAGGACGTCTGCTACTCCTGTAAAGTCCTCTCTGTCCTATACGGCCCCTAGGAAATAGCCCATATCTATCAGAAATCTATCATTGTCGAAAGAAGAACGAGAAATGGGCTAAAACTCGACGTCTGGCCCGACCCTTCAGTCCCTGTAGACAGATTCATCCGCGCTCGGCTACGTGACTCTAGGGCTTGCTTGGAGCATGAGCTTCAAACCCAAGGCAGAAATTATGCTCAGAAAACGTCTTATAGTACCTTCTCCCATGAGAGCACTTTGATGTGAGTAGAGGTGCCATTGGTTGATTCAGGGGCTCACTGGGGAGACATGCGAAGTGCTTTCCTTCTGCTGGGAGCAAAGATTCTACACGTGATCCTCTGCATCGGTGCTCGACCGGGAATGGGCCCTGGGGCAGTTAGGGAGGCGTTGGTTCTCACAGGTGGGGCCTTAGGAAGGCTAGAACATCAGGCCTAACTAAAAGGAGGGTTTCACCCAGTCTGGAGAAAGAGAAACACTACCTGATGGCATGAATGTCCCCACCTCCTCAGAGTAGACGAGTGATAACTCTGTATTTGCTCATCTTGCCGGGAAGGGGGAAGTGGGGATGGGTGTGGCCAAAGGGCATCCTTCCCTCTTGCAGGGATCATAAGGGAAACTCTGTTTAGAGTGCACAAACATTTTTGTCATGTTTATATACCCATTGCCCCCTTTAAAACAATGCTGTTTTCCGTAAGAATTTACACAGGAAACCAGGTTCCCATTTAGCAATGCTGACACAAATTGTTCTGTGACATTGGTTACATTTTCCACAATGTGTTCACATCCTCCATTCCATTCTCAATGTTTTCTTTCATCTTTGTCTGGCAATGGTTCTCCACCTTCCTAATGCCACAACCCTTTCATACAGTTCCTCATGTTGTGGCGACACCCCATCCATAACATTATTTTCATTGCTACTTCGTCACTGTCATTTTGCTACTGTTATGAATCGGCAACCCCTGTGAAAAGGCTATTCGACCCCCAAAGGGGTCACAACCCATAGGTTGAGAACCCCTGTCTTAGAGTAATTGTTGACTATTAGGTCTCCCACAGATGTTTGTTTCACTGTGGGTTTTTTTCAAATACTCACTAGTCATATTATATTTTAGTTACTAGATCTTTTTATTGGTGGCTCTTATAACAATCCATACATCAATTGTAGCAAGCACATGTGTACATTTATTGCCATCATCAATTTTCAGACCATTTTCTTTCTGCTTGAGCCCTTGGAATCAGCTCCTCTTTTTTTCCCTCCCTCATCCACCCTGCCACCCTCATGGACCCCTGATAAATTATTATTATTTTCATATCTTACACCGTCGGCTCTCTCCCTTTGCCCACATTTCTGTTGTTCGTTCCCCTGGAGGTGGGATATGGGGGGAGATGTTAAAACGTTGATCATTGTAGTCAGTTTCCCATTTCTCCCCCTTCTCTCCCCACCTTCCCCCTACACTCATGGTAACCGCTACATATTATTTGTTTTCTGAGGCAATCTGCTATTTATCTAAAAGGTGACCTCAAGGGGGCAGTTTTGGTTTAGGTGTATGGAATATCTCAGGGCGATAGTCTTGGGGAATCCTCTGGTCTCAACTGAACCAAGAAGTCTCGACATCAAAAAAAAAAAAATCTGAGTTCGATTCCACATTTTTCTTCCCTTCTATCAGAATCCATCTCTTGTGACCTTTCTCAGAGCAGCTGCTAACTGCAGCCAGGCACCATCTAGTTCCTCTGGTCTCAAAGGAGAGAAGGCCACAGTGTCTGCGGAGAGTCCCGTAGACCACTTTCTTCTGTGAGTTCTGGTTTTCCTGCTTTCTCTTCTGTGGCAGATGAAAAAAGATCAATGGTTCTATCTGAGATGGCCACTGATAAACTGTGAATACCCCAGACATTATTCACCGAAGGAGGATGCGGACTGCAAACTTTATAAACGATAATATGCTAACTAACTTACTTGTCCCACAATCGTGCCCCGTGTTTATTTACATTTTGTCCCTGCATTTCACTCCTTTACTTCTCCTTAGAAAATGATTCTATTTCAGCTTATAGCTACCACTAATAACCATATTTCTAACACTATCATCTGCTATCAGAGACAATACGATAAATGCACAAACACTGTAAACTCCTAGGCTAGCCCCTCCTTCCCCATGGTTTATAAGGAATATCCTCTAAATGCCACTTCCCATAGCCCACACCTTTTTCCTCAATTCCAGCCTTACATCAAGAACATTCCTCAGCCGTTCCAGCTGCTTCCTCAGGAGGTCACCCTGCCCTTCCCTAGGGCACCGGGACCCATCCTTCATGTTCTCTGCTTCCTGTTCTATATGCTCGCTGTGGGTAGTCTCTCCCTGTGTTCATAGTTTTCACCTCCACCTTCACTCTACCCATGAAGGAATGGAGGGAATGGGGAGAAGCCTCAGCTTCTAAAACCAGGTTCTCGAAAGTCCAACGTTAGTCCCTAACTGCTCCCCAGGATTTAGATGAACAAATTCTGACAGTCCACCCTTCCAAATGGTAGGTACCTCTCAGAACCTCCAATCGCACCCATCCAAAGAGGATTCTTGGCCTTGTCTTCACGCCACTGGATAGACTTTCTGAGCCTCTCATTTCTGTGTGTGGAATAGTCTTCCACCTGACTGCCCAGCCAGAAACCTACTTGGACTTCTCACATCTGCACTCTCTTCTCTCTCCAGGCCCATCAGCCATGCCCTTCAAACCTGTTCCTTAGAGTTCTCAACCCCATTTACTTATTTCTACCTCTGCTGCGACTTCTGTTCCAAATTGTCATCTCTCTCCTGGAACACGATCACAGCCTCCTAGCCTTCCTTCCTCCACTCTTTGTTCTCTCTCATTTTCCATGCACACCCAGCATGAACTTTGAAAAACACAATTTTCATTAAACCACGCTCCTGCTTATAGACCCTAGCAAAAGACCAAAATAATTGAGTTCTTTCATGTCCTGCCAATCCCTCTCTTAGTCTCAGAAATTTGAACTCTAAGTACCTCTAAGCAAAGCTACGAATGCTTTCTGCCTTACGAGCCAGGCACCTTGCTTTTTCTTATGACCATCACTGTCTCACCCCACTGCACCCTGCATTTTCACTTCATCGCATTTATCAGGGTGGAAATTGTTCCTGTTATGCTCTGAGCTTCTGGAGAACCAAGAACTTGTTTTACTCATCAGGGTAACTCCAGGGCCTGCCACAGGATCTGACATATAATTGGCACCCTATTTGTTTCGTGGGAGAATAAATGACAGCTGCCTATCCTTAAATAGCTCATCCAATGTCTTTGTGTGCTGGCTCAAGGAGAAAATAACCATAGTATCAAGAGCCTTACTATGTGCAACATATTTCATGAAGGAAAAACTGGGGTTAGAGAATGACTGAGATGATATGATAGATCAAAATAGAAAATATATTTTTTGTTATTGCTTTTATGATTGTTTCCAAACTAGCACATGGTATTTGCTCCAAACCACACTTCACTGATTTACATATAAGATTTGTATCATAAATCAACCAATGCCTGTTTATTATAATTTTTAATTAATTAATTTGTTTTTTAATAAATCATTTTATTGGGGGCTTGTACAACTTTTTTAAAATAATTTTATTAGGGGCTCATACAACTCTCATCACAATCCATACATACATTAACTGTGTAAAGCACATTTGTACGTTCATTGCCCTCATCAT